GATTCTCTCCCCATTGCATGGGAGCAGCTGTGTGGTGCTTAATTTCCAGCTGGGGTTAAACCACAACAAGAAAGTACTCACTGATGAAAAATAAGTCAGAAAGGGAGAAACAATAGTAGCGACACACATGGTAAATCCAAAATGAAACACGGAATTTTTCAAATTTTCACTCCCAGTCTGATCCACCAGCACACACTGAATTCCTTAAATTTCTTGAAGGAGTATTCTAACTTGCAGGACAATGCCTGTTCACAAGCAGTCGTTACTAGAATGGACTCACAATAAGAAACAAGATGAATTCACTCAGGCAGAGCACCGCAGTCACGTAGTTACATCACTACTGGGAGCACAGCTGCATCTGTAGTATATCCACAGAGCAGAATGTCATGCTACATAAACATAACTATATTTGTATCACAGAAGATTCTCACATCTGGAAACTCACATGGATTCCCACATGTTTTTGAGTGTGTGGTTATGCACTAACATATTTCAAAGCTCTTGGCCAAGATCATTTGGAGCTAATTTTATGTTAATGACAGGGCAATTCACTCACTGCAGAAAGGAATTCTGCATCTGCTATAAATGAATGAGTACAAAATGAATATAGTGAGGAAGATCATCTTGTCCTGCCTTTCTTTTACCCTTTTATTCCCTCCATCCTCATCTCATTTACCTACAGTCCACTTTTCCTTGACCAAATTTCTTTTTTTTCTTTTTTTTTTTTTTCTTTTGAGGAAAATGATATGGCTTGTATTGACAGTTAGTTCATACATTGCCTTTATATTACCAGAGGGCTAGGTGGGGACATTTAGAGCCTAAGGCAAACGGGGAGGGAAATGAGCATGACAGGTATAGAGTGAGAAGTTTGGTAACTTTTGTGCTTGTTTTCCTCCAGAGTGGCAGGCAAAGTAGACAGTGTAAAAGATTACTTATTTTTGTTCTTTCTTTATCTGTTCCTCCCTTTGGATTTTTTTGTAAGACATGCTTGCAAGGATGCAAAGATTAGGAAAGAAAAAGTATTTAATACTCCTATAAAAAAAATACTTTTTAAAATACTAGAGGCTCACTGTTCTTAATTTTCTTGTGTCAAAGACATTTTAGTGTTAAGGAAAAATACACAGTAGAGGAGAAGATAGCACTTAAATAGCCATCAGTCATCCACTCAGCAGCAAGACATTTACACTGAAATGGAAACAGAAAGGATGCTGTTGAACTCCAGGAAACATACAATACCCTAAGGAGAGACACCTCACACCAAAAAAAAGGCTGTGCATTTGCAACCAAATGAGCATTATAACTCATGGGATTGCATAATACAGGAGTTTGCAAAGTATGCATTTGCACACACCAGAAGAAATCCTGTCACAGCTAACTGTAGTAGTTTAGAATCATTGGACTTGGAATCGGTAACACAGTCTTAGGGAGACACTAGATTCTGCTTCTCCCAAGCTTTCACTGCCCTCACTGTAAATAATTTACAACTCCTATACAGAAAAAACACTGCAAGATATTACTTTAAAAATACAAGGACATAAAATCAATGTAATTCAAAATGCAGAAACAGCCCACTAGACAAGGGAAAATGAGCTATTAGGTCTGGTTCCCATTAGAAATTGGAAAACCTTTTAATTGTTCTGGCTAATTTTTAATAGGACACTGAGTCCTATTCATTTCCTAGGCATTTTACCGTTAATGATCCAAAAAACTAATTCGTAGCCAGGAGTTTAGGAGCCTGCTAATGACCTTTACTGTTTATGTGTGGCTACTTTTTCACACACTTGGGCCCTTCTCTGACTGAAGATTTCTTGTTCCTTGCTGAATTCCTCGGTGACATGGGTCTATAGAGAAAACCTTACCGCATGTGGTAGGAACGCAAACTTGTAGATCGCTGTGGACAGACCTGCTGTGACTACAGGCTTGCAAGTTCAAAGCTTTAGGCTTGTTTTCCACATCTACACAGTAACAGCAACAGACTAACACTGAAAGGCTTATCAGATTTTAGCAGGGGGAGAAAGCTAATATGTTGGGATTATTTCTAATTATAGTAAATAATCATAAAATGACACACAGTAAGTGAACTAAGCACTAGAAAGCCAGGATTGTTTAAGGACTCATGTACCTTGCATGTTTACAAACGTATATTTTGTTGCTTAATATGAAAGTATTACAGTCAACGGTTCTCATGATTTA